AAAAAATATATATATATATATATATATATATATATATATATATGCAGGCAGAAGTCAATGAAGTCTAAAAAGCCCTCTGCCCACCGGAGTAAGGATGAATAGGAGCTCTTCCTTTTCATCGAGCAGTGATTACTGTCATTTTCGAGGATGAAAAAAGTAATCTGTGTTTAAAAAAAATAATAATAAATAAATAAATAAATAAAAGTATGAGTGTCTTTTATATTTGTTTAGTCAATGTTTAAGGTTGTACAAAATCTTATCGGACAAACCCGAGCAAAATTGAACTTTTTTTCCCTTTGAAGAAAAAATAAAAAAAAAATAGGAACTTTCAGCACTGTTGAACATACAATAAAAATATTTTATAATTTAAAGAATTAATTTTAAGATTAATGGTGGACTTAACAATAGTTCATGTATCAATTAGTTGAAAAGTGATCATCGTAAATTCAAATTCGATAGTTTATATAAGACAAACAAATAAATTTAGTAATAGAGAGAACTACCTTTAGCCAGGATTTATAGTAAATTTTATTTATCTTTTGTTGCTTTTAGATGTAAGGCTTACTTCCTAACCCTATCGAGAGTAATGACTAGTGTTATAAGTCGTTGGACATTTGAAAGAATGCCGTAAGTAAGCCAATTTTGAGGAATGAAGGCAGTTCTATGAGTACCAGATACGTAGCTCATCAAATCAGTTGCCATACGAATGGAAATGCAAGCAACGAAAGACAAGATAAGATCGAGTCTAATACATCAACCTTGTACTCAAATATTCTTGTACTAATCCGTAATCAATACGGTACAGGCAACGAACCTTGGTTTGGGGAAGTAAATTTGGCCTATGGCAAAATTTTCCCCACAAAATATGTCACACATTTCGGGGTAGCTTCTAACTTTTTTGAAGGCTTAAGCAAAAATTCTGACATTTCTCATCAATCGGCCGACGATGAAGTAGAGTTAAAAAAGGGCCAAATTATAATTGAAGTCACATATAAGTGTAAAGCTTACTTACTCAACTCCCAAGGCATTGGGTGCATAATAAACTGAATTATAACTAAAAGTCTTAAGGTAACGCCACCCAGAAATTTAGTCTGCATTTTGGTTCATTCTTTGTTTCAACAAGAAGATAAACATCCTGCCATTAACTCTCACTCTGATAAAAATCGGTTAACTGAGCAAATGAGAACAGTTGACAAGAAATGTGTATTGTGTAATGGCTATTCACATATTTCCTTACATTTCTGGAAATTAAATAAAAACTTCATTTATCGATTACAAAGGACAATTATTAACTCTAAATCATTCCCCTAATCGTGGAAATAATGGTCATTATGGCAAGTAACAAGTCTCATGTTGATGTTGGATAAATACCATATGAAGCAACCACAAAATCTTTGCCCTGGCATTGGCAAAGGATAAAATAGGGGATAAGTTACCAAGCGAAGAGATGGATCGTGCTGCAATTTGACAAATACAAGAATTAACATCATGCTATCTTAAAAATTTAGAAGGAAAGTCTGATTTTATTACCTGGTCTTGTTCAAAGCTCTTCCATGCTGAACTAGAAAAATACTCTTACCTGAGCGTTGGACTCTGCTACTGCTGTCAATATTTGATGAAATATCATATAAATTTGAAAGAAACAATGGAAACTAAATAAAAAATTAGATAATGAAGATATGGCATATTAATGATAATATATGATGTTTATAGAGTAGTTTCTCTGTTCTTTTTATACTTCAGTAAGTTATGTTCAAACAACATTATCTCGGACCATATGAAGAATTTATTGACCCCTCACTGTGTACGGAACACATATCTCCTTCTTCTCCTTCTCCTTCTTCTCCTTCTTCTTCCAGACTAGAGTTCTCTTGCACTTCTTTGAAGACCGGATATAATAGGTTGAGCGCATCTTCGTGGTTCCTTTCTAGTGCCCGCCACCACCTTTTGGTTCCTTTTATCTGTTTGAGAGAACGGAGTAACTGCTGCCTGATTTCCACAAAAAATGGAAGCATTTTCAATTCTGTGCACCTATAAACTTCAATGCTGGATAAGGAATCACAAGTCATTATTCCATTGAATATGTGCTTTAGTTCTGGCAAATAACTTAATTTCAATTTTTGTAATCTTGGGAGGATAATTTCCCCATCATTTACTTCTGTCACCCCTTGATTTTCTTCTCCTGCTGCAATTATCTCCATGATTTTGTCACAATTCTGAATTGTGATTTCTTCAAGGTTTCTTAAGTGCTGAACCAACACAAGTGGAAGGAGTATCTTTAGATCATTACATGCTGTGACTTGCAATATTTTAAGGCTTGCAAGAGTGCCTGCTGGTGGAATTCCTTTGCAGATTTGACTTAAATTGCTCAGACCCTCAATTTCCAACCACTCTAAGTTGGAAAAGGAGCTCCACTCTGCAGTAAAAATCCATTTCATCTCATCACAATATCTTATCTTACAGAGTTGAAGTCGAGAAGCTGCAGCTGTTATAAAAACTGGTAGGTGAGTAATACCTGAACATTCATGGATTTCCAATTCAAGAATCCTTCCAGGCAACCAAGCAGGATTTAATCTTTCGCAGATATGAACCCCAAAGAATCCGATGCTATTTTTCCCTGTGTGAGTAGAGGAAGGGATATAACCTATGAAAAATCTGAAACTATCTAGCATATACCAGTGACCTGATGCTACATACTTATCAAATTCTTGCATAGTGCTGAAATTTGCTTCAAGTACTGCCAAACTGCTGCAGCTTGCCAGAACATCAACAAAGGTTGGTTGCAGACTAAATTGCCATAGGCCAATAATAAAGAGGCTCTCCAGGAACTTGTATTTGGGCAAAACAAGAATTGGAATTTCATAAACTTTAGTATAGGAGAGGTTTAGATGTTGAAGTTTAACAAACATATTCATCCCCTCTGGCATGTGCTCAATTGATGTGTAAGAGAGGTCCAAAACCCTCAACTCCTTGAGCTTTTCTAGAGTTGGCACATAGCACAAGTTCCAGCAACTGCACAACAGTAAAGCATGAAGGTTCTCCAGATCTGATAGTGATTCTGGTAAACGGTGAATTCCAGTGTACGATAAGTTCAGAACTTTGAGGTTTTGCATGTGACGAAAGAAAGTTGGATGTATTCCTTTGTTAATGGAATTGTACTGCAATAGCAATGTGCAAAGCTTAGGACATTTTGGTTCACGACTTAAAGAGCTCAAATCATTTCGCATTAATGACACTCTCTCAAGATCCGGAGGCCATTCATTCTCCACTGGAGGCACTTGTAAACCAAGTCCAGCTTTGATCATAAAACTTGAGTTCACTCTGGTAAGTGCAATCACCATATCCCTAATTACGTCATGCATCTTCACATATTCATCAGTATGTCCATCTTGATAGACACCCTCTAACATACAAGCACTTTTTAGCTCATTAAGAATCATCTTACCCAGTCGCATCTTCACTATTTGACTCCCAAAACTACCCAATAGACTGTCCCATAACCAGTATTTTATCAGCTCTTCTGTTTCAATAATATGATCCTCTGGGTATAAGGCGCAGTACAGAAAACATGATCGAGTCATATCATCCTTTAATCTGTCATAGCTAAATCTCAAACGTGCAAAAACTTGATTATCCACCCCTTCAATGTTAGCAGTTGAGTTCCTCAACTCAGTTAATGCTGCTTGCCATTGTCTAATGTTGTTTTCTTTTCTCAAAGCCCGTCCAACTGTAATGAGTGCTAGTGGTAGACCAGCACATTCTTTCGCAACGTCCTTAGCAAGGTCTCGTATTCTTGGGGACGAGAGAACCTCTTCGCCAACCTTCTGTTGAAACAAGTCCCACGCTTCTTCCATGGAAAGCACGTGAACTTCAATCTCTTGTACTGTTTCCATGCGTCGGCATACACTTGATGACCTAGTAGTTATTAACAATTTGCAACCATTTTCCTTCGTTGGGTTAGGAAATCCGATGTTCTCTAGAGAATATGCCTCCCACAAATCATCAATTATTAGCAGACACCTACCTCTTCTTTGCAAAGCTTCAAATAGTTCACTAGCCCTTGTAATTTCACTATCTTCATCATGAAAAGATAAGCCTATCTCTTTCGCTATATGCTTCTGCAATTTCTCTAGATTTATATCCTTTGATGCTGTTACCCAAATAACATTATCGAAGATTGCCTTTTTGCTTAACAGTTGATTATTAATTTCTTTAATGATGGATGTTTTCCCCACTCCTCCCATCCCATAAATACCAATAATTCCAATATTTTCATCCATCAGGTACTCCCAAGTTCTCAGCAAAATTCCTTTGGCAGTCTCCCCTACTAATGTAGTTCCCGGAAATGTTTTTCCTCTCCCTGGCACCATATTAACCAATGAACTGTCTGAAAATCTGCTATTATCAAGGAGCTCCTGAACCTTACGCATCTTTTTAGTAACAGAGTTCCCCAACTTCAATCTACGGTAATAGTTTGGAAAATATCCACATAAACAGCTTATATTATCTTGAATTTCCTTTTTCAAACTTGTCATGATATTCTTCATCTTCTGCACATTTTCAAGCCACAACTTCACTTCAGCTGTCGGATCCATCCCATTCCACACCTTTTCCACTTGTAACTTTTGTTTCACATCATCTTCTCGAGCAGTAAGTAACTCCATTTTGTCTTCCAATATCTGTAGTACTTTTTTAGGTTTTCTCATATGGCTGCATCGTTCAGAGACTGAGTCATTCAAACAGCAATGTCCACAGAAAAGTTGCACTATGCTTGCAATAGCACCAGCAATTTCCATAGCCTTATCTGCCAAGAACCACAGAATAGAAGCAAAATTTTGAGAACGTACTGAAAAAGTAATCAGTTCCCATTTTAATTAGATTGGACGCATTTACTAAAGATCCACAATGGAGATTGACATAGAATTGGCATTAGGAAAATGCCACAATTTAAAACTGATCATAAAAGAATGGAGCTGCTGTAAATTCAACTGGTACTAGAGTTATAATCATTACTCATCCAACACAGCTTATTGACTTTATAGATGATAATCATATCATATTATTGTTTTAACATATAAAAAAATAAAAATGCACAATCCATAGACTTCTTATCCATGCCAAATCCTTAGAACAAAGTATGCCTTATAACTAGTCATGGACATAAGTTTATCACAAGTTTATCACAAATTTATTTCACTTATGATAAATTTACCATAAAATACTTCAATTTCGTTGTTATTTCAACTTTATGATAATTTTACCATAAAATACCTCAATTTCCATGTTGTTGATCAATGGCTGGATCTAAATAAATTAGAAAATTTAAAAGCTTACTTGATGTTGGCTCGAATCACAATGAAGCCATATTCACATATTGTACGCTTCTTGATACATTTAAGCTGTCTGATTGAGTAGTGTGTTGGAAGATAGTTCGCCCAAAGCTGAAATTACACCGTTCGATTAAAAGGGGCACTAATGCTACTCTTTAGAGACTAGGATTAGAGAGATTGGTGAGGTCTCTGATCAAATACTATTGTAAGGAACTTAATGTGTTTCAATTTATCTTGTTGCATACACAGCTCAACGTGGGGCTAGAACATTTAATCGCACTACGGTAACTTGTATTTTTCCTGTTATCTTTTAACAAAATCTCTTTGCATACCTGTAGGGTCAAACTCAGATATAACCTTAACGGTGGCATCAAAGCGCTTTTGAGTGTTTCTTGATTCGGATGTAGCGGTGGGAGTGTTCTGTAATTTCTCCATCTATCTAACTTTCTAACCAATATGGATTTATCTTCAAATTTAACACATCTATTGTAGGATCTGTCCACTTGACACCAAAGATATACTAGCCAATGACCATTTTTTTCAGATAGAAAAATTCTTCTTCCATCCTCATAGATCGTGATGAGATTACTATTGCCTTTGAGAGTTAACATCTTCTTGGAGCCGATTATCAGGCCTAGAGAGTTGTTGAATGTTTTGACTTTTCTTGAAATTCTCTTCGTTCCAATTGTACAACTTTTTGACTACATAATAGTCTTCTTTATAGAAGGGATCAATGGAATGTGGTGGCTTATTTTTTGGGAAATTAAGTCACCGACACGAGGATAATCAAATTTATGCAAGGGAGACAGTGAGTTTTAATAGGAATACATAAATTACATGCTCATAAAGTACACGGAATTCTAATTCTTATTTTAATAAAATCATTATAAAGTTATCTTAATAAATCTTCACTTTTCCCCTGGAAAACAATTATCTAAAGATTACTTCACATTTTCCTGAACTAAACAGTACAATCTATACAACAGAAAGTGGTGAAAGAATCGACAATTATTGAGCAAACAATTCCATGTATGACAGCAAATTGAACTCAATAATCTATGCCCTCAGTCTTTGTCATTTGAGATAGTTTTCAGGTGGAAATTAAATGAAAATCATATGTATATATTTAGGGCTGGAAAAAATGCTAACCTGTTTTGGTCGCTCACCAAATGGATAGTGAGTGTAGAGTCTGAAAATCTGCAGTGGAAATCTGTGAGAGATAATGTGAATGGAATGAAATTTGGGGGTACTTTTTAAAATAGCTTGGTCAAACAACCAAATTTTCGTTTTGACCATTTTTTTTTTGTATTCACCACATTGGCCTATTGCCATTAAAAAGACAATTCTACCCTTATTCATGTTTAATAATTACAAAAGTATATCAATTGTTTAAAACACAATAATACCCTTAATAGTTTAAATAAATTCTGTTACTTCCATACGTAAATTTCAAAATCAGTTTTGGTTTATCAGTTTCTCCAATACAGTAAAAAAGAATTTTTTCCTTCCATCTGCTAAAATATTGAAATCTCCCAAAATTATCAAAGGTTCAAGAAAGAAACAATACTCACAGTCGGCACTGGAAATTGGTAAGTGTAAATACGTATTTTGAATTTTTTTTTAGTTAAGTTTACTGTTTGAATCTGTAAATAATTATTTAGAGAAAGGCAGATGAATTTTACAGTATTTAAACACAAATTTATAATTTTTTTATAGCAAAAACAACAAAAGAAATTCATCTCTGTATGCATATATTTTACAGGAAAAATTTATAGGTGTCNGACAACACAATATAAGAATTAAAATAAATAGTTAACTTAAAAAATTAAAGGAAATAAATAAATAAGAAATTTAAAAAAAAAAAATTGGGCCTCTGGCAGTCGACCCAGATGACTGGGCCGTCTGGGCTCCAGGCAGCCCAGTCAACTGGGCGCCCAGACGGCCCAGTTGACCCAGACGGCCCAGTCAACTGGCGCCAAGACGGCCCAGACGACCCAGTCAACTGGGCCGTCTGGGTGAGTCTGGGTCATCTGGGCATGCCTAATCGGTCCAGTCAGCTGGGCTTACGTCTCCTTTGTGGAGATCGCCGGAAAACTCCATTTTCGGCGATCTCTACTCCATTTTCCTCCTCCCAAACTATTATCCTTACCCAAAAATCATGCATTTTTCCAAAAATCAACACATGTATATAAAATCATGTTTTTTTTTTCAAAAATCAACATAAAAATTGTAAATATGGGTCGTCTATTTTTCCTTTTTTATCAGTGCTACAGTAATTTTTCTCTTTCCTTACTATCTTCTCTTTCTTCTTTAAATAGTAAGGGTAAATTTGGATTTCTCTTGATTTTCAATATTTTAAACATTTTGCTTTTTTTTTTTTTTTTTAATTGGTCAAAGGCCTCTTTGAAAAACTGGTCGGGTCAACCGGCTGTTAGCCACTAATTCCTCAAGGAAACCGGGCGGCTTACAACCCCCTGACCGAAACCCCCACAAATAGGGGGTCCCGTGCGAAAAAATGGGACCCCCAACCTATTGTGGGGAGGGGGGGGGTTCGACTTCCTTAGCATTTCTATTTTTAGACTCTGTTTGATCCACGTTATTTGAAAAAAATATATTTTTGCACAATGATTTGACATCATTTCAATTACACATTCTTGAATAAAATAATATTACACGTAAATTCAATATTTTTTTAATTTTTTAACTATACATTTTCTATCATTACATTTTCAAAAATACATTTTTATGAAAATAATATAGCTCAAACAATGGCTTAATATTTATTATATCCCAAACCAATTTGATTATAAAATTTCATTATACATAAAATGCAATCGAGAGAGGGGAAAAAAAAATACTTGAGGGATATAACTGTCTTTTTACATCAAAGCTTTGATTGTGGACATTACACGCTTTCTCTTAATATGATATGAATCGAAGTATAATGCCTCAAAATGACAAAAACTATGTCTTGAAGATTACTCAACTAATTTTTTTAACAATTATAAAAGTTGATCGATACATTGTAATATAAAAAAATAAAAAAATAAAAAAAACTGAAAAACTTTGCGAAATAAGCTATTTTATTGTCTCATAATATGTCGAATAAATTCAATCCACTAATGAAATATAAAATAATCGATTTTGAAAATAAATTTCTGATTACAAAATAATTTTAAACTAAATAAAATTCTTAATTTAGCGACACGAAGTTTGCCAGCAGTTTCAAACTCCCAATCCGATCAATTAAGCATGTGAAAAATATTTCAAATATGAAATGAGCATACGAATACACATGATATAGATTCATGCTAATATTTTCACAATTTAATATAAAAAGTAAGTAAAATACGCATGTAACATAATTTTGTAGTGGGATAGAAGTCTGGTCGCCTCATTCTCACTTAAGTCATATCCATTTTCAATCTCCACTTAGAATATTTAACCCTATGGTTGATTTCTGTACAGATCTACATAATACCCAATGGTATTACCCACAAAATCATTCTTTAATTGGGATCACATGATAGTACATAAAATATTTAACTTAAAACATTAAAAAGTGAAACACATAACCACTTGACATTTAGAGAAATTCATACATTATTCATTAAATTTGTTGTATACTTGAACTACTTGAAACTGAAAATTCTTGCAAACTAATCATGAACGTGTCAAAAATGCTTTTCTCTTTCCTTCCTCTCCTCTCATGGTTTTTCTCTTCTGCTTTTTCTTCATTTTTTCCCCCTCTTACTTTTCTTCTCTCTCATTCTCTATGTACGATTTGTTAATAGGTCAATTGAGTGCAACATACAATAATTAAATACTTGTGATAATGATAACGACCGAACTAGAATTTTAAATGAACTATTAATTAAAATTTTAATTGGACTTCAAACAATCTTATCCAAAAAAAAAATTCTAATTACACGATAATATAATTCTAATACAAAGATTGTGAAAATTCTAAATATATCTAAACACTTATATATCAAATAATGATTGAATAGAAACTCAAAATAAATATTAAATCATAATTTTGTGTAAAACTCATATTTCCAATTTTAAGAAATATTAGCACAATGTCCCTAAAAAATGGTAAACTGGCGCAGTTACCCTAAATTTTCAAAACTTACATTTATACCTCAAATATATAATGTACGTAAGTTCAGGATATTACATGAAGGGTGGATACAGAATTCATTTCTTGAAGGAAAAAAATCTGAAATTTTTGTTGGAAAAAATGGTTAATGGGTCAACTTTGAGCCCAAATTTCAGTGGGACCCACCTTTTAAATAATACGGGACCTAGCATATTCACGTTCTACTCCGCGAGATGATTAACGTGATATATTTATTTATCGAAAACCATTTAAAATTGAATGAAATATTAAGTGTTAAAGTAACCCACATAAACTAAGGATTATGGAAGAATTTGATTTGCCAAACACTTATCCCACATAGGAAAGTTAGGAAACTTTGGTGTGGTTTATAAGGTAGAAGTTTGGAATTGGGTTTGGGCCTCAAGGGGTACCAATAATCTTTGGAAGGGGGAAGACTTATATCCTATTGGGTTCGGTCATAAACCCACACGCGCGCCGTCCGACCGGCCGGCATGGCACGAGCCCGGTTCGGAGTCCGGGTGGACCTTTACACTATATTAACTTTTTAGACAAAATTTATTTAAAATTTTGGGCCAAATTGTAAATACAAAATGAAGTTTAAATTTTGGCTTATTCTGGGTGTTTTATTTTCTTTTAACTGTCAACTGTTTATCGATCAAACAGTCGACTGTTAGTCGACTGTTAACTGACTTAACAGACACGACTTTTAAGAACAGCATGTCTGTTCGGATTTTTGAGGCTTGTCTGAAAGGTGATGACTGTTCGAATAGCCACGAACAAGTCTATAAATAGCCAGCCTTTCTACCAGAAAATTCACACCATTTTCATTGCAAACTTTCTGTGCTTTGAATCTCATTTCCCTCTCTCTCGTTCTGATATTGTCTCGAAATAAAATGCACTTCGTTGAGTTCGTTGGAACTCTTACAAACTGCAGTGCTGCTTCCGTAGGAGACGAAAATTCGTTCTATCCTGAGAAACGATTGCTGGACGCCTTTAGCACCATTGAAGGCAGCAAATTCGTTTTAAGGAAACATCGTGAAGTTAGTGGGCTCGAATTACAATTTTGGATCCTGTTGATCAATTCTTGCATTCAGGTAATTCTGTCGGATTATTTTCGAAGGAGTAACTTCAAACTCTAGAAACAACAATTTTTACATTGATGCTGCATTCTATTAAAGAAGTAATTTACAGTTGAACTATCCAAACTTTCCCCTGTGAGTGAGAGAACAACTACTTGCTGCAAAAAATTGCAAACAGCTTCTCAAAAAGCCATTACCTTTAAGCTATGCTCTTGATTTTTTTACCCTCACTGTGTATGGCACTGCTTGCTACGAAAATCTTCAGATAGCAGATTCGAAATTAGCTGTTGCAACCTCTCAGCACCAGAAACAGGCTTAAACACAGAATCTTTTCATCGAGCAGTGATTACTATCATTTTCGAGGATGCAAAAAATAATCTTGTGCTCAAAAAAATGAAATGAAATAAATAGAAGCATAAATGCCATTTTTCAAACATACGAGATTCGTGTATCTTCAATTATTAAGAATTAGAGTGCAACAAAATTAAGGCCATGTTTGATTTTCATTATTTAAAACCTAATTTTTAATTACACATTTTTATAATAAAATAATTTCATACGTAAACTCAAAATTTTTTGCATTTTAATCATACATTCTCAAAAAAATCACTTTTCACAAAAAATTTCTAAAAAATGAGGATCAAATATGAGTTTGATTGGGTTGACGGTCTATCCGCCCTTAAATGGTATTATCCATCATTCTGAAGGAACAGTTAATTTAGAATTTTATAGTCCTCACAGGGCCAATTATTATGTTATTAATTGATTAGAACTTTAATACAAACTATTTACAATTGAATTTGGAAGTTATAGACCTTCACTATAGTCCT